TGAAGCTGCGTACAGTGCGTTGCCGTAGCGTCCACCCTGCGCGTTGATGTCGGCTTTGTTGTCCAGCAGCAGCTTGACCATCTCACGATGACCCTGTTTGGCTGCCAAAGACAACGGAGTATCGCTGTGGCTATTCTTGGCATTGACCGTATTTGTGATGGGCTTTTGCGCAGATACAACCTCTTCCGCTACAGTAGCAAGTCCAAAGCGTGCTAGCTCGTGCAGAGGTGTGGCCGTCGGATACTCTTTGCTGTACCCTCGATAATTGTAGACAGGAACGTGCAGAACCTGCACGGCACACAACAGTGAACTGCTGTTAAGAAATTTGCATACCTGATCCGTGACGTTGGCCTCTACTGCTCTTGCGTGGTCCCCCCAGTGCTTAGCTGCGTAGTCGAGAAACTGGTGTTCCTGCAGCCTTTTCTCATACTCTTCATCGCTGGAGCAGCTGCCGCTTTGTAAAGCACTGAAGCATAGATACGTGAGGCATGTCTCAGCAATACGCAGCTTGCCGTCCGGTACCCAAGCATCGCCAGTCCGCTCAAAGTATTCCTGTGCAGTATAGTGCACTAGACGGATGATAGCACTCTCCTGGTCGACAACGACGAGACCTGCGCAGACAGACACTATATCTTCGCTGTTGGGAACGCTGTCCGGGTCAATCTCGGCTTCCTCGGGCTCTACTGCCAGAGCGCAGCATATCTCAGTAGTAGTGAGCGGTCGCATTGCGAATGTGATCCACGACAGAACCCTTTTGGCCAGCTTGCGGTCACCTTCTAGCTGACCTTCGATCCTCTGAAGAGCCTCTGTGTATGCGACATCGAGTGCCGCTGCCCCCTTTGTAAGTTTTGCAAGACTTGTCTTGACGTCCTTGATAGTCCGCTTGTCGAGCAGCGAGTCTACATGCAGGCGAGCAAGAAGAAACCTTGAAGTGGTCAGCGCGTACTGCCTCTTAAGTTGGCAACGCACTCACATGCCCTCTACTGCATCTAATATCTTCTCCTGCACCATGTCCTGCAGCGCTGTACTATGCTGTATGCATACAGGCAGTCGGTATGTCTGGCCAGCAATGTAACGCTTCACGTCTTCGCTGCTAGCCTGTACCTCTAGCCTCAGCGCTCCTTTGAAGGCATCCTCGATGTCTGGTATGAATCGCGCTGTGACCATCAGACGGACATCATTTCCTGCCTGAAGATCCCAGAGTTTCCCCATCAATTGGTGACGGGTAGCATTCTGGCACTCATCCAGGGCATCGATTACTACACAACTGTAAGGGTAGTGTGCAAGGACGTTCTGTAGTGCAATGGTGATCTCGTCGACAGACGGCTTAGTTCCTCGGTCAGCATGCTTCTGATGCAAACGTTCTACGTGCTCCATCGCTGACGGTCGACCTGAGACTAGCTGCTTTAGAATGGCCGCCAGCGCACTGGACACGTCTTGCTCCTTCTGAGCTTTGTAGTTGCAATACACATAGGCTACTCCGTGTTTGCTGTGCTGCACAGTGTTTAGCAAATGGTCGATCGCAATAGCCGCAATCATGGTCTTGCCGGCCCCAGGGATACCTGGACAAAAGAGAGTGGCCTTGGGCTCGTTGAGCCACCTTGAGATTTCAGGTGCGTCCACGAACCACTGGCCCGTTCCTTGCTCTCTGTGCTTTATGATGTCTGATTGTTGAGCCGGGTAATCTGAAGCTGACGTCCATTCCAGCAGCGTGTGGAGCTTTGCCAAGTCGTTCTGCTGTCGAATCGTATCTACCCCGGACTGGATAACCGGTACCTGCGTCCGAAGAAAGGTGATGTCGTCTTTGATGGCTTGCGAGAGTTTGCTTGTACGAGTAAGCTTTGCTGCTGTGTACCACAAGGAAAACCAGCTCACAAGTGGTCCATCTCCAACGCAACCCCTACCAAGCTTTTCAATCTCTCGATTCGGCCCAGGATGCTCGCGACCTCTTCCTTCCTGAACTTCCACACCAAAGCTTCGCCAGCCTTCCTCAGCCGACCGCCATCGGTCGTCTTAGCCTGCAGTGCTTCCAGGGCTTGCTTGAACTGATCGATCGGCCCGTCCTGGACTGCAAGGGCCCGCACGGCGCTGTACCATGGCTGATTGGCACTGCCTTCTCCCAGTCGACATCGCAGTTTGACAAGAAGGCTATAGAGATTGGAAAGCTCGATCTCGCACTGCGCACGGTCCTTCGAAGCGTCTTTGACGTCGTTCAGATACGCTAGGACTTTCGTAGAAAGCTGGAGAATCGCGATGATGCTGGCAGTGACGCTGAGCGGATCCATATGGCGTGCAGCGAGATCTAGTCGAAGGCCTATAGAAGCTAGCGACGAGGAGAGGAGGCAGAAGCATGATGGGCAAGCGACCAGGCTGAAGGGCGCAGCTTCAGCAAGGCTGAGCAGCCACGTTCGAATCGCGGGGCGGCGTTGGAGCGGAGGAAAGGCACGTGATACAACAGCGGAACGCGTCAGCGACATGCTCTAACAATAGATATCACGTGATAAACAACTAGAAGCGTCTGGACAAGAGCCACACCGTGATCGTACAAGTCCAGAGTGAGCGTTACGCTTGGTGCTGCGTGCAGCTTTGCGAGGATCGCGCTGATTCATTTGATAGTGAAAGACAGCAAATGTGACGCTTGGTGCTGACAATCTTATCGGTGCTGCATGAGCCTCGCGAATGTATCGACACAAATCTGCTCAATTCAAGACACTGTGGCTCGTCATAAGTAGAAGAGGGCCGTATTTGGCGACTTGTTTTGCCATGAAAAAAAACACCTGAGACAGCCATCGAACCTCTATGTCTCGAGTGTCAAAACCGATCTCCAGCGATCATTCGCGCCACTGGAGCTCTCCATGGCCCTGGTGACGCAGCAGGGGGAGTCACGCCGATTGTGAACTCCTCCCCGCCGTTCTTAAGGGTATTTTTACGTTTGCGCCAGCGCTTCGCTTTGCCTGCAACAGCCTTGTCCTCCGCAGCGCGCTTCGCTCGGCGCTCCTCGAGGTCCTCAGCGCTCATAACCTTGGCTACTCTGAGAACCAATGACCTCTGTGACTGCCGTGCTTTGACTTCGCCATTAATCTTGGACAAAAAGCGATTGTGATTTTGCAAGAGGGATCGTTCTGCAAATGCTACTCTGGTGGCGCTGGCAAGCTTCTGCACGCGTCTATGTATGCGTTGTTTCCTTGGCTCATCAAGACCTTCAGCATCCTGCTTGATCATATTGTATAGCAGTGTCACGGCCCCTGTATTGACAGGAGTGACCGGCGTTACAGGCGTGTCAGTCATCTGCGCTGTCTCTGCTTGCATGCCACTTCCTGTCATCTCGGCTTCTGAAGTAACGAGTTGCACGTGGGGCTTTGGTATACCTCTGAGCACTCTATCAGGGTTGAAAGGAAAATGACCAGTCGCAGCCCATGCCTGTGTGATGTTCCTTTTGGTGAAGGCTTTCACCCTCGCAGGGCTGTAGAGAGAAGTGAAGTCTTCCTTACCGATGGTGTGTACACCACCTCGGCCGAGCCGATAAACTTGGTCCCGATAAGCTGCCTTCAGGGCTGCGAACACTGCAACATCACAAGGTTGAACCTTGTGCGAGGTGTGAGAAGGAAGACGACACAAGATGATGTTATTCTCCAAGCCGAACTCCAGGATCTCAAGCGTCTCGTGTGTTCCGAAGCCATCAGAGATGAGCACTCGTGGCTTTCTGTTAGCTTTCGCTCTCGTCTGGGGGTCGAACACGCGTGTAAGCCACTCCAGACTGATTTTAGAGTCGTTGTATCCATTCTCAGAGTACGCATAATGCCACCCAGGGGTAGGATAGGTAGTCTAGTTGCTTCGGTGAGTCAAAGCTGGCCAAATGATCAAAGGAAGGAGTGCTGTCCCATCACCGCAAATGCATTCGACAGCTGTCACCATCGTGCGCTTTACCCCTGCACCTCGGTAGTCTCGCTCATCATCCTTACCTACCAGCACCTTCACGGAGCTGAGCATGCTTAACATCACACCTGTCTTGTCCATATTATACACGTTCTCCGGCACCACAGCCGGGTCTTCGAGCACCTCCTTGATGACCTTAAACCAGTGCGATATCTTCTTGTATATGTATTTGTCGTGACGGTTCCAGTCAATGGGTTTGCTTTCCTCGCCTTGAGCAAAGGGTTACGCTTCCGAAAGGCCTGAGCCCAATCCTTGCCCGGCGGCTTGCTCTGCTTGTTCAATGAGGACCGCTGGCGGGCGACGCTGAAAGCTATGGAAGGCAGAAACTTGGTCTGTACTGGGTGCCCGAGGGCAAATTTCATTAGCAGAAATTTGACAACTGCCTTCTCTTTGTCCGGAGTCAGACACTGTCTGCGCTGGGCTGCTTGCTGCTTCGACGGACGTCCTTGGAAACGGTGGTGAAGGGTGAAAGCGGGACGTTCTTCCTGTCTGCGCGAGCAGCCCAGGTCCTCAAGACTCCTGGAGAGAGGGGTTGTGCCAGAGCTAGACTGGCTGAATCCATTCTAGCAACTTTGGCGTTCTGGAGAGGAGGCGTGGAGGCAAACAGAGCGTTCAATAAGGGCACCACCGATGGGCTGTTTGTTCTAAAGATAGCCATCGCGTAGGCGCTTAGAAACTTCTAGAAGCATGCTGTACCTCGAATTTAAGAGGCATAGCGTACGATATCACGTGCAGTACAGCCACAGATCCTCATCGCTACGTAAGCGCATCACGACCCGTTGCTACAGCACACAGTGCCAAGCGGGTTGGCCCTGACGCGAAGACAGCTTCGGAGAGCATACTCTCCGTACCCAAATGCCCTGAAAGCCTGGGGTAATGTGCATCTTAATCAGGTCTATTACCCTAGGATATCAGAGCTAGATTAATTACACACAGCAGTCGCAGAGCAGTGGTAGAACGCAGCCAGCTCTCTGATGCTGCGTGCAAGATTGTTGCCGGCCAAACCACCACTGCCGTAATTTTTATATGAAAGAATGCAAGTAAAGACAACGCTGTTTAAAAATCAGAAAGTGTTTAAGATAGGTCTATAAACGCGTGTGATGAGGTTTGAGGTGGCTAGACTCCAGATCCATCTCTGTGAGGGCGAATTCTCGCTTACACCGGATGGACGTATCTCAGATCGCAGTAACTCACAGTGCGCAGATACACCAAAGAATGCCGACGAGCCAGATTCACATCCCGAAGCAACAATGCAACGAGCCAACGCCCAAACCCTCCGACCACATTCACAATCCAAGAACCCGGCACCAAAGAATGCGAGTAACAAACGTTGAATTACGCGAAACTAAGCAAGCGCCCAAGACGCTACATACGCTATGCGACGCCAAAAATGCATCAAACACACACTACCTGCTCACCTACTTCCCGCCAAACTCCTGCGCCAGCTTACTCCGCGCGCGCAACTGGTGTCCAAACCTGAACATGACAAACGGAATCAGACTTAACAGCGTGCCGAACAGCGCGAGGATGAGCCCGGCGTACTGACTCCCCACGTTGTGGAAGAACGCGCTAGCGAACAGGGGCGTAACAGCTCCGAGCGTGTTGCGCATAAGGCCCTGGCCCGCGATGGCCGACGACGACGACTCGCCATAGCAGTCGGCCGTGTACGAGTAGGTTGATTCAAAGACGAAGAAGATGCCAAAGGCGATGGGCGCGAGGCCGATGATCGGCGCGATCCAGTGCACGTGGCCGTACTGCGTGAAGCTGTAGATGAACAGGCCGACGGGGAGCCAGACGGCGCCGAACATGGCGCCGTACAGGCGGTGCTCTGGCACAACTTGCACCGCGGGGTCCGCCTGCAGCTGGTTGTACTTGCGCATCTGCAGGTGATGCGCGGCCCAGCCGAGGAATGTGCCGATGGCGAGCGAGATGTAGGGCAGGCCGGCGACGCCCTCATTCCACCCGCGCTTCTCCGAGAAGGTGATTGGGATGACCGATAGGAAGAGGAAGACGACGGCCCAGCAGAAGGCGATCCACATGCCAAAGGCGAAGACGACGGGCTCGGTGACCAGCATCCGGATAGCCTTGACGGACGAGGCTCTCAACATGGACTTGACGTCGGGTGTGTAGATGTCATCTTCGGCGACGTAGCGCTCGTCGCCGGTGGCTTTGCGGAGCGCAACGGCGCGCTTGTGGAGGCAGACGCCGCCGCGGGTCTCGGGGAAGAAAATAAAGATGGCAATGAGGAGTGGGACGTTGGCGATGCCCTGGATGCCTTCGATCCAGCGCCATCCAAGAGCTTGGTCGATGAAGCCAGCGTAGATGGGTGCGGAGACAGTGCCGAAGATGGCGACGAAACTGAACATGGCCATGGGGCGGCCACGCTTCTCAGCGGGGTACATGTCGTCGAAAGTGCCACCGACAAGGATGGTGCCGACACAGCCAAACAAACCGAGGAGGAGACGGAGGCCGATCATGGTGTTGATATCGGGAGCGAGTGCGAGGCCGATGAAGAGCAGCGAGAAGCATAGGAAGGATGAGCAGTAGACGATCTTGCGGCCGACAAGCTCGCAGAAGGGTGCGAGGATCATGGGTGCGACAGCACAGGTCATGTTGAAGGTGAAAAGCCCCCACTGCCCCTGGAGACTACCGACGTTGAACTCTTCGCACATGCTGTTGATACCAGAAGAGTAAGCGGTGGTAGCCAGACCGATGAAGAGCGTCATCAAGTTCAGGATGGTGGTCACGCTGCGCTTGTACCAAGGATTCCAGTTGAAGGGGTTCTCCTTATCGTCAGTGGCGAAAGTGAGAACGATGTACTCCTTGTCATTGTGCTTGACTATCTCAGTGAGAGTCAGTGGCATGTCAATATCGACAGTCTTGATGGGACCGCAGTCTGCGTCGATGTCGTTGTTCTCTTCGCTGACGTGCTTGCCTCCAACAATCCTCCCGATCATGAGCTCGCCCTTCGCGTTGCGGATGATCTCCGAGTTGTGGTCGGGCGTGTCGACACCATCATCTTCCTTGTCATTGTCCTTGCTGTTGGCTCTGGATAGATAGGCTTGCGGTGTGGTGGCGGCAGTAGAGCGAGCCCGTGGTGTGGCGGGTGTGCTTGCTGCGACGAAAGAATTGTTCCTCGATGCTACGATGGAGTTGTTTCGGGACTGGTAATAGGAGTTGGCCCTCGACGCAGCCAACGAGCCTGGCCTGGAAGCAGGTCTGGAGAAAGAAGGACCGTAGTAACCTGACATAATTCTGACAATTGAGGTAGTCCTTGGGGCGTGACTGCGCGGAGAAGATGGGGAGCCACGCGCGTTTTGTTTCTCGCCAGCAGACTGGTACTCGGCGTCCGAGGTACACTGTCCTACTTAGCATCCTGCTGGCTAGCGGTCAGTGTGGACCTCAACACCGTTATCAGGTCCACATAAAATCTGGCCGTGACGGTGGCGACAGGTGAGTTCGAAACTGTGCTAAGCAGCGAGGTACGCCGTGAGACATATTGGGCATGTGTGTCATTCTAGAAATACAGCAAAAGCGTATAAAATTGGCCTGATGATTTCGTGCGAGAGTCTTGTGAGATGAAAAGCATTGCAAGGCCGGCCATTATTACAGGCACGGCGAGATGTGCCTCTCACGCCAAGGATGAATTAAGGTGAGGCTCTGCGGGATCTGAACAGGGATTGAAGTCTGCGAGTCTCCACTCATCTCACGGTCCGTCCGGCAAGATCAGACAAATGATGCATGCTTTGCGGTATGACGTCGACAGTGGGCTGCATTTTCTTCAACAACACCAGTGAGAACACAGACCTGAGTCTTAGCTCGGCCGGTGTTCTCCCTGTGCAGGTCCAATATTGTCGCAAAGTTTTTTGTTGAAGTCGCGGATGAGGCCAAATCGCACTTGGCGCCACCGGCATGCACACATCTTATCTGTACCTGTCAATGACATCAAGTCGCATATACAGAGCTGCAACCATCCTTCTTCTTTTGTTCTTGATGTGCTCTCGCGTCTCAACAGCTGCGCTAGACGCGCCTTTGATGTTGCGCAGTTTGCTGTCCTGCTGTTGGCCAGTGAACGCTTTCCGTGTGCACTCGTGCGTGTCCGCGCGCTCGCGCCACTCGGGATCGGCGTGAGGCTCCAGGTGGGTCTGTAGGGTCCGCACAGATCACGATACACGTCGTGACACTCGCACGTTAAATTTGAAATGCACACCGTGTTTTGTGCGAAAAATGCGATAGAGATGATCCGGAAAGATGCGGGGTTGTGATCATAAGCAGGGAAAAGCTGGCACATGTGGGATTTGCATGGGGCGAGTGGATGACGTCCGCCGTGCGTCGTGTAAAAGGCGCTTGTGAGAGGGTCGGAAGCGAAAATTTATGGTATCATTCGCGTGCAACCAGTGTTCCGCTATGTGCACTGTACTGGCGCATGCCCTAACTCCGGGTAGTCCTATGCTCCTGCGCGCCGAAAGTGAAGACGCCAATCATGTGTCTCCAGCGTAAGCTGGTCACCATCGTATCATTGTGTGCCGCCCATGTCGTTGGCACCGAACGTGCCATCGCCGAAATATAGCATATCGTGTGGTAGGTATTCCAGGTCCCATGGCATCATGTCTGCGCCCAGCACAGACATGTCTACATCCTGGGTGTCGATGACCATATCACCGAACGAATTGTCTGATGGCGTGGTGTACATGCTAAAAGTTGGCGAGAATTCGTCGGGCTGCACCTGTTGTGCCTGGTTGCTTGCTATAGATGCAGACCTGACGTAGGAAGTGGTATTCTGTAGAGATGCCTGATTTGGAGATGCGCTGTTGAACGGGGAGTGGAGATTCAACAGCAGATCAGCGTCCGAGACTAGCGCAGGATCAGGCGCATGTACAAGACCATAGGGATTGTTGGCTGGGGGCGGGGGCATTGACGCGGGGTTGAATGATGGATAGATTGAAGGAGATGGCATGGGTAATTGCGAGGGCTCGAACTTGACGGGTGGGTTCGACATGAGCGAGGCAATGGACGGGTGAGTACTTGCAGGCGAGCGTTTCGACGCCGACTTCGTCTCACGGCCAGTGCTGTTCTCAGACGTGTACATAACTGCAACGTTGGTCGATGGTGAATTCATAGTGCCGGTGAGCGACCAACCAATTGCTGCTGAGGACTTAGTGGTGGTCTTGTGCAGAATACCATCAGACGTACCTTGGTTGGAAAGGCCCATTGGGGAGCCAGGTATAGTAGGCGTTCGGGCGCCCTTCCTGATTGCCGCAGGTATGTTGGCCATGTCGCCATCCGGACTTCGCGCAGTTAGATATGTGCCCCAACTAAGCTTCCTACGCCACCCCGGGCTTGTGAAGGACGGATCCGGTCGCGGCACCTCCAGCGCGCTTTCCATCTCTTCTCTTGTGTACAGCAATGGATTGTCGATACCCTTTGCCTTCTGATCCAGTACTGTGATGATGTACTTGACGCCTTCCCAATAGGTCTCCAGCGACTTGAGCGCACGGTGGCAGCGCTGGTAATTCTGATTTGCTGCAGAGGCCAAAAGGGAATGTTTAGCAGCTTGCTTTTGTTCACGATCTTGCAAAGCGTTTAGTCTGTCGCCGTTGGCTAGGTTCTTTTCGAGGTTTAGTTGTGCAAGTGAAGCTCTAGTATCCCTTTGCTCGCTTTGTGGGCCTGGCGATACGGGACGAGACTGAGGCCGAGACTGCGGCTGCGAGGACGCTGAATGCGTCACAGATTCTTGAAGGAAGGCGCACGCAGCTATGTAGATGGGTTGACTATTAAGGCATTAACTGAGTAACACGGTGCGGGAAAGAAGAGGGGATATACCTCGTGAAGGGATTGCCCACGCCAGTCTTCGCATCGATGAGCTCAGTGAACGACAATATGTCGGCGATTGTCTTGGCAGAAGACATGGACAACTCTCTGCTATTGGCGGAGAGTGACTGCGGGCTTCCTTCGAATGGCTTCAGTAGAGTCGGCTGATGTAATAAGACGATCAAAGTGTGAAACCAGCAATGCAGCAGCAGAAAATTAGTTCCCTGGTTGAACTTGACATACTGCTGGAAGTTGACAGCATTGAAGTGTAGCTTGGGCGACAGGTTTTGGTAGATCTCTGTCAGGCGGTTCTCGAGCGCATCTAGCTGCTTTTGCAGGTCTTTCGTGATGTCTGACACGTCCCTCACCCTGTTCAGCAGGTCTGTGACACGCCCGTACAGGTGTATTATCCGGATCAGTGCTGGGAAGGGCAATGGCCACCCTGATGCTGAGTCTACCTCATCCATGGACGGGAAGCAGATCTCGATATCTCGGTCACGAATCGTGACTGGGCGTCCAGTACCTGATGAGATGACTCGATCGAGGAAGAAGATGGACCAGAAGGTGTCTAGACGCTCGCGTTCGACAGCTCTCTGCTCTTGTTCATCGGAGGTCATGTTTTGGCTCTGCTGCGAGCGTCGCTCTGGAACGGCTGGCGCGCGACCGTTGTTCGAGTCGGTCTTGACAAGTTTTGGAGTGATGCCGTTTCGACCTTCGTACTTCAGACCCTCGAGTGTCTGCATACCCAGGTCCTGTGCCATTCGGATGGCGATGCCAAGGTACATCCAAAGACCGCTGTCACGGCTGGCACCGAACTCGTCGTACGCCAACAACAAAGCTGCTTGCACCACAGCAACGTTCGGACAGGGGAACGCGTCTGGGATGTTCGATTTGGCTCGCTGGGCGAAAGCTTGCCCAGCTTCAGGGTGGAGGGTTTTGGTCTTGTCTTCGGTGCTGTCCTTGTCTTGATTGCCACCTAGAGTCAGCATTGGGTGAGTTGAGAACCTTGCAGCTAGTGCACAGACTGCATCGACAAGAATGGCATCGACCTGCTTCTCCTCAAGATCGCGCATAAAGCGTTCACGCTGCAAGAAGGGGAAGCAACAGCCCAGATTGACAAAGAACAGCTTGCATAGGTGAGTGATGAGCGGACTGGGAGACATGTCAGAGCTGTCGTACACGGGTATCTCGAGAGGAGTGCGAGCTTCTGCACCTGATGGCGAGCCTAGCGGCTCAGCAGGCGACGAATCGACTGCATGCTGGTCTGACAGCGTGTGTGTGCTTCCGTGTCTTTGGCCTTTGACCTTGACGACCATCTGTCTAAAGCCTGGCATGATGGCCGTCGGCCCAAAGTAGCGGAAGTACGGCATCCTGTTGCGTGTATTGAGACTCAGGATGCCATTCTCGTCGTCGCCCTCTTGCTTCGGTGCATGGCTGGTCGACGAATCAGAGAGCTGCGACATGTTCGATGAGGCCATGTGCGGCAGCTGCGGCCGGGCAGGTTGGGCAGAAACGTGGACCGAGGGCTCGATCTGTCGAGCAGGCGCGCCAATCGAGGCAACGCTCTCTCTGCGGACCGCCTTCTTGCTGTCGCGGCTCGTCTCTGCCGCGCCACTATCGCCTCCATAGCCGGCGCATTCGTGCTTGTTCTGGGTGCATGTGCCACAGACCGGGCGCTCGCCTGGGGAATGTCAGTCCACGCTTCCACTGCAGTTGTGTGCATGTCTGCCCACCAGAACAGCGTGTCTTCTTGCGGCGACAGGTCAGGCAGGCTGAGTTGATCCTGCGCCGCTTCGCGTATGGCCCGTCATGGTTGGTGACGAAGCGGATGGGCTTCGGCTGGGGAGCAGCGGCAGCGGCAGGAGCAGGACCATGAGCAGGACCATGTGCAGCAGCCGTCGAGGGAGCTCCTTGATTCATCACAGAGCCTGCATCGAAGGCTACGCGGTGGTGCTGTGCAATGCGGGGAGCGCGAGCGGGGCGACGGTGATTGGCCTTGGCAAACACAACGGTCGTCGTTCAGCAGCAGAGTCTCGACACAGTGTCACGGCGGGAGAGGCTGCGGAGAGACAGGCGCATCATCAGCGTGCAGTCAGCGTTCCGGCGTGCGCAGATTGGTGGGCTACAGTATGACGGCGAACAGGGCGGGAGTCTTGCGGGGACGGGCGTTGCTGCATGCGTCTGGGGAAATATCGCCCTGTTCTCCCGGCGATCCGAGTGCCTGGAAAAGCTACGGCAGTTGGCAGCGTGACAGCGCGACCCAGCGTGAACCCTGCGAAACGCACCGCGACTGCATCGTCGTCCCATCTTTGGTGGTGAGTATCCCAGCGCATGGCCACTCCTGCAGCCTGCATTAGATAAGCAGTGCTTCACGCTCAACGCCACATGTCTCCAACGCACGCACCCGCTTACCAATTGCCTCAGCATCCCAGTCCTCACAATGGAGTCCATACGGCCAGCCCTCGCAAGCGTGCGCCTGACAGCACCCCGTCGCGCATACCGCCCTTTCTACCAGTGCCTGCACACATCTGCAACACGATGCGCCACACCGCTGCCCCACCCCTCGGTACCGGGGCCGCCGCCAGAGACACCCACGCCCTCGGCCTCAGATGCACTCGACCGCGTGGCCCGCAAGAGGCGGCAGGCTGAGATGCTGCAGCAGGCCAAGGGCGCCCGTGCACAGGCAGCGAAGCCCACCAGCGCCCTGAAGAAGCGCTTCTGGAACGACGTCAGCGTCAAGGAGACGGAGAACGGCTTTCAGGTCTACCTTGACAGCCGCCCCGTCCGCATGGCCAACAAGGAAACTCTCACCGTCCCCTCCTCGAAGCCCCAGCTCGCCACAGCCATTGCCCTCGAGTGGGACCTCCTCCTCAGCGCACAGCAGGCCCTCAAGACGCACTACATCCCCATGACCTCTCTCGCCGCCCGCGCCATCGATATCGAGCGCGCAGATGCCAACGGTGACGAGCGCGTCCGTGACTCCGTCATAGAACTGTGCATGCGCTACCTGTCCACCGATACCCTGCTCTGCTGGGCGCCCGAGCACGTGCTCAACGACGTCAAGCAGAACGGCAAGACACTCCGCGAGCTGCAAGAAGAGGTCGCAACCGGCATCACCGCATATCTGACCAGCAATCTCTGGCCCGGCATTACCATCAAGCCCATCCTCGACGCTTCCAGCATCGTGCCCGTCGACCAGGAGGAGATGACCAAGCAAGTCATCCGGGGCTGGATCTCAGGCCTGCCTGCTTTCGAGCTTGCTGGCTTCGAGCGCGCGGTCCTGGCTAGCAAGAGCGTCATGATTGCCTCGCGACTCCTCCACGAGTGGGCCGAGGGCCTGGCTGAGACCCGTCAGCCCGGTGCCAAGAAGACGTTTGGCATCGAGCAGGCCGCCGAGGCCGCGAGCCTGGAAGTCAGATGGCAGATTGGCGCATGGGGTGAGGTCGAGGATACGCATGACGTTGAAAGGGAAGACATGAAGCGCCAGCTTGGCAGTGTGATTCTGCTTGTTGGCGGCACTTCAGCGTAGATGTAGCGTGTGCTTGTCACGATAGAGTGTAGAATAGACGTCAGCAAGAGCTGCACTGTAGGTATACGATCGATGGCATCTGCATATACCCTGACCCCAACAGCCACGGGCTCTGCAGCTGCGTGCTTGAGGAACGTGGGCGCTACGTTGAAGTGATGCTCCACTGCGACCTTCGATCCTCCATCCACAACACAGTTACAGCGAGTCGACCGTGTCTAGCACAGCGCTTGTGACCCACGCTGACCTCGTTTCAAGGATGACATATAACATAGAATCCTCAACCCCTTTATGCGTCCGTACTCACTACTACATAATGCACGTGATCCGCATCAAGGACTCGAGTCACCGGCCACCTGCGCGACACTGACGCGAACAGTCTTCAGTGGCGCACATTCGTCGCACTCTTTTCTGGAAGGCCGTCGATCAGAATGCAAATGACTGTATTCGAGGTGCGTTGTCTGCTCGAATCTCAGACAGCTAGCTCAGTATCCACAATGCCCACGTTCGGCAATTGGACTCTGCTGTCCGCCGTGCAAGGACCGATGGTCTACATGTTCGTCAGGCTCCGAGAGAAGAAACATTGGTTAAAACTACGACGTCCTGCTTTTGTCACTCTCGGGTGGGTTCAACCTGGACTCCGCTCTCAGATGTGGTGGACTCTTGACCCGTCGTGGCCTGCGCTGAACGAGCAGATCAACTTCGTTCGTGACATACGCGCTCAGTTGATACCCCGAGCAGATAGTGTGATCTTCACGACCATTATCAAGTAAAGCAATCATTTTTGGGAAAAGTTGATAGTTACGAAAGCAAGTATGTACCCAGAATCGAACACCTTCCTAGCCAGCGCTGCTTCTCCAGTCACGCCATCTTCTTTACAACCGTCTCAGAAACGAATTCAGCTCTCGGAAAGAGAGTAGGCAGTCGTAGTGAGTACCGCGTTAGAGCCGCTGAACGGCTCGGTACCAGCACCGGCTGACTGAAGGATCTGAGAGCTGGGAAGACCCTGGCTGCTACGCAGGTAAGTGAGAAAGTCGTTCAGGTCGCCGTTGAAACTGTTGATGGCGCTGACAGCTACGAAAGAGAAGACAGTCATCTGCCCGTTAGGACCCTTCCACAGCTTGAACTGGTTGCCGGCAATGGTGACGGTCGCAATAGCGCTGCCGGTAGAGGAGATGGGACCTGCGCCGCCAAGAGCGGACAGCCAGATCATGATCTCGTACTCGGCAGAGCCGGTGGCGGTGGAGCCGGTGAATAGGTCGTACGCAACGTTGGCAATGATGTTCGAGCCAGTGTAGGTCCAGGTCCAGGTCGAGGGGAGCGAGGAGATGGAAGAGAGGGCCTTTTGGCTGATCTTTGTCACGACGTTGGCGTAGGACTTGACGTGTCCAGCACTTCGCAATGTTATTACGAGATACATAGGAATACGGGGAGGGGTACTTACCCGCCAGCCCAAGTCCACTTGGTGTGCCACTTGAGCGTGCTGCCGCTGAGGCCATCGACGCCAGTGCACTGGCTACCAGAGGTAGCCTGGGCTTCACCCCACAGGTTGTTGTAGATGGTGTATGAGCCCTGGACCTCATTGTCCCACTGGCCGCAAAAGTCGGCGCGCTTGGAGAGGACAGAAGCCGGGGTGGTAGGAGCCGCCAGGGTGAGCGCAGCAGTGCTGGTAAGGGTAAAGAGTGTGGAGAACTTCATGGTGGTGATGTGAAAGGGGAAGAGGATGTGGAGAAGGAATGAAAAAGCTTGTGGACCGCAAGAACTTGGAAAGGCTTGAGATACCTTAAATGCACGTTAAAGTTGCTATATATGGAGAGCATGGCGACTAAAGGAGATGAAAAGAGGAGCTATGACAACGTGCTTTACAAGAAACACATCACCGTCATGACTAGTGGTAGGTGACGACAACTCTTTGCCGCATACGGCCACCGTCGTCTACGAAAGCCCTACCATCAATTTCGAGTCTGCAATCTAGGAGACAGTACGATGACGTGCGACAATCCAGGAGACAGCCGCTGACTCATATTGGTGGCTTTCATTGATGCGCAACATGGTGTTTTCGCGGGGTACTATAGCCGGTGGCGTCCAAAAGTGGTACTGTCTGTGAGCATCAAGGTTTTCTTGACAGATGACAGGCGTGCGTGCGCGGTGGATCGTAGGGTTGGCGTTCCGAGGTGACCGGATGGGCTGCGGCAAAGTTACCCCACACGTCTGAAACTATGGTCCGATGCTTGATTAAGAGTTAATATATGCTTGGACGTGACCTCACTGGAAAGGCCTGGTTTCTCCGCCACTTTGCACAGACGCTTCTCAGTGGAGCTGTAGAGTGTCGTCGTGATGCTACAGGAGTGAGGCAGTCCGTTTCGCTTTACGTTAGAAAGCCGAGTGCGCTATACGTCAATACGCTCGAAGGTCTCGTTGACGCTGGTATCCGGCAATCCGAGTGCGGCCAGATGCCTGAGGTGTTCAAACATGGGCTGCAGCGTGAGTCAGTCGAAACATCATGTGCGAACTTTTGCGCCACTTACAGTACGCCAGCCTGCCTGTCTCTCAACACGCCATTTGTTGCTCGTAAAATTACTGCGGGTTTCCTTCTGCACATAGAAGGGCTGTTGGCTTGCAAGCTCAGAGCCTGGCCAATGCCAGACGCTTGTTAACGCTCTCAAGACGCTACGTAAGTCTTTCTTAATTGTCTTGGAGATGGGTGCATCAAGCCAGGGCTGAATCTTCTCCCACTTGACGTCCGGTAAGTCCCATCCGAACAAGTCGCTTGTTGCTATCAGAATGCTGAGATCCAATTCCTCAACGGCCGGAAGCTGATCCAAGATCTTCCCAACAGCAACAGTGACATCATCCGGTTTAGACCCAGTATTGCGCGATCCGATAGAGTCAGCCTCGCTTAGCTGCTCAGTATTGGGCTGGTTGAGAAGGGCCTTTCGCTGCCTCCACAGCTCCAGCGGCGAGGCTTGCGGCGGGCCGTTCCACCAGTCGAAGCCCGGCCATAGAACTATCTTAAGCTTGCGCGCATCCTTCATAAGGGGCAGCAATGCTAGGAAACGAGGCGACAGGTCTTCGCGGACAGGTATAAAGAAGCCGAACGCATTGCGCCGCTGTCTTTGGACTTCCAGTGTCAAGCGTAGAGTCATGCCGTCGTCACCGCTTCGCTCGACAGCTTCGTCAAGTTCTGTATCAGACAATTCGGTGGCCTTCGTATTGTTGGCTCCTCCAGATGTAGCCATTTTAACCTTCTCTGCAGCAGAAGAGTTGAGCAAATGAGTATGAAGCTCCAGGCACTCGTGCCGTAACTGTCAGCACGAAGATAGCAAATTTTTTGGGGGACGTGAAGGCAAGTAGATCCTCGTGTCCACAAATGTCTCTTCGGTCTTTCTTGGCCCAGCTTGGTGAGGTGAGTGCGTACCGGTCCTGGCACTGGATTCAAAGACTGTCGGTGGCAGGGTGAGATAGTGGAGGATTCCTTCTCGCAGCTCTCGTGGTATGGCCAGAAGAGTCGACATTGCGATATTCGTGTTATAGTGTAAGCTAATGCGAGACTGAAGCTGTGTTCATGGAGAGAGCGTTTTGCTCACGGAGAGAGCGTTGTGTTTGCTCTTAGACGCCCAGCGGTCGATGATACTTATCGAAAGTTGCTGCCTAAAAGATGAGGATCGCAGACGGATCCACAACAGTCGAGCTACACTACGGAGTCTGATTGGCTTTGCTACTTTCACTCACTGAGACGACTGTGCTTGCTAGAGTTGCTCTGCTGGGGGTATTGGTGATTTTAGGGTCAGCTTTAGGAGGGAGGAGTATAGGGAGCCCTCGCTCGGCAGGCAGACACGACAGCCATGACAGCATGAGAAGATGCCAGTTCGCCTGCAAGTGCAAGATCAATCTTCAAACAAAGTCAAACACCTTGCTGCGGAGCCTCAAATGTGGAATGGAAATATTTCTGATGACACGAGAGTGGATGGCGAGGTGCAGGCCTCCCCGCACAGGCTAGACTAGCGCGAAATCTGGCGTCATGGTGGGGAAGTCGCGTATGCAGCGAAAGCAGAGCCGCGCGCCGACGCGACCTCTCACTTTTGCACCAGCGTTCACCACCTCCGACTTTAATGACCCCACACCTCGCCCTGCTGGTGCTTGCCAGAATTGGCTTACTGTATATACCTCCGTGATCGTGGGACTGGACCCTCCGCGCCGCACATTCCCATGATTGAGCAGGCTGAGAGCTAAGGCACCGTCCAAAGCATACAACCGCCGACACATCTTGTCGCCCGGCATGGATGATAGTCGCAGCGCTACTGTGAGGCAGTCTCCGGCTAGTAATAGGCGGAGAAGTCTGAGAAGTCATCGCAACTGCGAGGAGGGCGGTGCGAGTGATAGCGAGGCAGCAGCAAACGCTTCAAGTCAGGTACGTGTGACGCAAACACGCTGCGCAGCATGCACAGTGCGGTAGAGCACCTCTCAGCCACAGACGGTAGGCAATGAGACCAATCAGCCGTCTACTTGGTACCGGTCTTTCACCTGTCATACGCACACTAACGTCCACAGCGTCCGCAGCCTCCCCGCCGCCGCAGTACAAGATCACGCCCCGAGCCCTCTTCCGCAGACGTTGCCGATTCCACTCCAACACTTTCGTCCACAACCGTGCCACTACCCCGCAAAACAGCTCCTGTCGTCAACACAGGTTTTGCATTGTCGACCGTGGTATCTACACGCAGCCGCGAATCGAGGTTCAGCCTTTTCTCGCAAGGCCAACAATCAAGAAGGGGACGGGACTCAGCTGTAGGCTCTCCCTCGCGAGGAGATCTCTCTCCCAGGCAGATCGGCCTTGGCTTGGACGGTGCCCCTGGCCTATCTCCCTATGAGATCGACTTGTCGATCGCCTTGGAAGAAGGGCTTGTTGAGAACGATCTACGCAACGCTTTCCATCCTTTGCGGCGTACGCATACACAACCTCATACTTCTGCGTCCTATTCAGAGACGTCAACGTTCCAGCCAGTCCGCGACATCGGCGGTCTCGGCCCTAGTGACGACGAACCCAACAGCTACAGCTCCAATCGCGCAACCCCTGCAAACTTTTCAAGCCACCAAGCGTTGCCAGGTTGGCTTGTTGGTAACGATCACGATATGGGAGGTTCATCGAAACGAGCGAGAGAGAAAATTCGAGATAAGGAAAGCAAGGATCTGCTGAATACACTGGAGAGGCATGGAGCGATTACCGCGATGCTCTACCATGCCACCGATCCGGATCCCGAAGCAAACGATATTTGGCCCAACTTCCGTAACAGGGCAAAGTTGCCTGCCAGGTATGCCTCACTTAATGTCAGCCGAGGAAAATGGGGCAACAAAGGAGTCGACCCCTCCACAAGTAGACTACAGGTGGCCACTCAAGATCGATACAATCTCCGAGGGCAGAATGGTGGGTGGAGTGCGTCAGCTCCGGAGACGATCGATCCACAGTCTACATCCTCGACCAGCACAGGCCGCCCGTTTTGGCAGCTCCCTGTTGAGCTCGTCGAACAGATCATCGAGCACCTCAACCGAGATGATGTCAAATCTCTCCGTCTAGTAAGCCGCGAGCTGAACGAGTACACATCTCAAGCTGCTTTTAGAACAGTCGTTGTTCCTTTCAACACTGAGATTTATGGCATGCTGGGACAAGAAGTGAAACCTGATCGCAAGGGCAAGAAACGTGCGAGAATAAGCAGGCCGGAATATTGTTGGAAGAATGCCAACGGAGATGAGGTGTACAACGGCCATGGTCTCGACGTGTTCCGTGGCTTTGGAAGGCACATCCTCAGATACGGGATGAGCTTCGAGATGAACGAGGACTCCTTATCTGCGCCTCCTTCGAAGTCGACGACAGAGCAAAAGACCAGCTTCTGGGGTAATTATGATTGGCCTTTCGAGGAGTATCGACGGTTCGATGCCGTTGCTGGTCTCGAATCTGCCGCTGACGAGACACCGCGAATGAAAACTGCCTTCTCAGAGCTGACCAAAGTCAAAGAGCTCGCACTCACCGTCAACAGTGGCCTTGGATGGTTGAACGGTCCAGACCTTTCGATTAGAGCACGCATCTTGCAAACACCACCCAGTATTTTCGGGTCTCGCCAAAACGTTCCAGATCGCCGATCGCAGGCTCAACAGGAGCTCTGGCATCACATTGAGGACACGCATGTCCGTGCAGGTGACGATGCTCGCACAGCATCTCTCTACCGACTGGAAGGAGCGCGTCCTTTGACGGAAGTACAAGAGTCTCGACTGTTGGCTGCGACACAACCAAGTCTGCCGTTCCTGGAGTCTCACATCCCGCATGAAGCGACCCCGCATGACACAGCAGATGCAGCCGTTTCACAACCACTCGATGACACAAGCTCACTTGATCGCCACGTCTTGAGATCATCTTCTGTTAACGCTGGTATCTTGTTTACCAGTTCAACGTTACAGCACAATGACGCTGCACAAGTCCTGAGTCCCATTGTACCTGCTACTCTCACTAAGGCTCAGAAAGAATGGCTGCTCGAAACGGAGTGGGCTCAACGCGCATTCTTGTCATCCTATATGCTTTCGGTCATTGACAATCGGACTACGTTCCATTTGATACACACGCTCAACATTTCTAGCCTCGCCGACCGTTACATCTCCATGCTAGACCGTGCAGACTTTTGGGATGCGCTACCGAGCTTGCAAGATGTTACTCTGATGGTCATACCGGGATGGAGGACAGTGGAGAAAGACGAGGCCGGTTTTGTCGATACCCCCAGAGTGGACCCAGCTGGTCACGTCGATACTTTCTGTGGCCTTCTGCAAGCTCAAGTCGCGCCACGGTCCAAGATCACCAGGTTGACAGTGGGATTTGCCGCGGGTGGAGAGCATGCTGAGGGACTGCATGCACGAAACAAGCTCCTGATGCCAGCGCCTCTGTTGCCACTGAGAGCTCGTATGCACGCAGATTCGACTAGCCCGCCCATGGAAACTGCTATAGTACAAGACACCAACATGCTCCGAGAGGCTCTGGTACACTTTCCTCATTTGGAAGAGCTTACGTTGCGTAACTGTTGGATCACCCCGTCCGCTCTACTGCAATTTGTCAAGGTTCATGACGAGTATGCGCTCAAGCACTTGGCTCTGGAGTTTGTCTCGCTGACAGCCACACTCCGGCCCTCAGGGAATGCGCAGGCTGCACACGCTGGTCAGCAAGCCATACTTTTGAATGCTCCTCCAGCTCAACTTGCTCTGTGGGCTCACGGTAACAACAATGCTGGGGGCAATGCTGCTCCTGCGAACAACGTCCCGGGCAACGGTCAGGTCCTGAATATCCACATCCAGAATCTGCACGCTCAACTTCAGCAAATGCAAGCAAATGCTGGGGGCGTGCAGCAGCATCAACAAGTGCATGTTTTGCAAACCCAACTGCAACAGCAACTGCAGAATGCTCATGCTCTGACTCAAAATGTTCAGGCTCTGACAGCACCGCAAGCTCAAGCCGGCGCGCCACAGGCCACAATGCAGTTTCAGCAAGCCCAACAACAGCTTCAACAGCAACAACAACACGCCGCCCAGATCATGCATCTTGCTGTTCAAGTTAACTTCCTGCAGAACGCAATGGCAAATCAGAACGCACAAGCCAATGCTGCGACCAGCAGTGCCAGCGCTACCCTGCAGACTCCAGCTCGCGAAGGCTCGTGGATCGACATCATTGACCAAATCTCGCCCGGCACCAATCTCTCTGACTTCGAGTCTATGCATTCGAAAGTCGACGCAAACCGGGCCACTTCGCTCATGTCCATCTCGTTCGTATCATGCGGCTATGCAAAGCTGCCCCATCTCGGCCTCAGCATTGACCAATCCGCCATCGAAGCGGTCAACGGCTTCGCCGCCGCCACAGCTCTACGCAATCCCATCTTCACAAAGCGCTACAACGCGCTTTCACCAGCGATGATGAGCTCCAAGTGGCAGTACCTCGGCGAGATCGTGCAGGAAGTCAATCTCAACGAGTACGCTGCGCTAGACGCGGGCTGGAACTTGCGACACGGCTGGGAGGATGCCGAGGCTGCGCGAGCCGTTGAATTCGATGGTCTGCTCAGTGGTGGTACGGGCAGGTTCACAGGCAAGGTGCAGCGCTCCGACAGAGTTGAGACCGAGGCGAAGTATGCGAGTTAGTCGATCTGCCGACGTTTGCCTTCTCTGCTTCTTGTGTACTGACCTAGAAATTCTAGATATGGATGCGTTGACGAAGTTGCTCGGGCATATGGTATTGGCTCATTAGCAGTGGCGCGTGTAGCGGAACAGCATCCGAGGAATTGGGAACAACTACGAGCATTTACATATGAAGCTCTCACAGTTCTACTAGCATGGTCGTTCTATTATCACGATCAGGCATCACATAGTATCAATCACATATCGACACAAAGTCTTCAGCAGCACACATGTCTCATCACTGGATCACATCGTACTAGTCTGAGATATCCAATTCGTAAGACAGGCTCCGGGGCATGTGGACGAGTTCTTCCGGGAGCAACGACGCCGTGAGTTGGCCTGCCCACGTGTCAAGACCAAAATCTAGAAGCGTCAAGGTAGGTTCGAGAAAGGCCTGCCCCTTGCCTTCGTAAAGCTCTGGCAGCAGGGCTTTGCCTTCAAAAAGGCTGATTAAGCCCAAGATTGAGGCATCGATGTCAGATATGACTTGTGCGGGCTCTTCCTCCACGAGATAGTCAGTCGCTGGGTCACCCAGAGTCTCCGTGGCAGCATTGCAGCAGGTTCAGCTGCTGTGACGCTCAGAGTTGGTTGTAGTGGTGCAGCTTAAATTGATGTAGCCTGGGTGTTGAGCCGGTCGGCGGTCGCTGTGTAGCCGGCGCTCGGTCGCTTGATAAGTCGCAGGGACCGTCGCCGTGGGCTGGCGCGGGCAGTGAAAAGATCATTGCGTGCGGCTAGGAAGGGGACAATACTGAATTTTCGCTGAAATCCTGTTGTGTCGATGGCGGAGAGCTACGTCTTCAATGTTTCAGGATTCAATGAAAACTCCGCGTGTATGTAAAGTTACTTCTGGTGCTGTTGGTGTGTTCGAAGGCGAGGAGACGGAAGAGGTCGACAACGAGAGTTGTATTATACGTTGTATGGTGTAGAACAGGGGTATATAGCGAGAAAGAGAAAATAGCAAACAACCCTGGAGGTAGTCGCGTAGTCGCCCGTAAGCAAAAGACATGACATCTGAAGGAAACATCTAGACGGGACGACAAAGACAGACGGTGTCGTTAATACTCAATATACAAACACTAGCCAATCTAATTACTGCGCGGTATGGTTTTGTGCCAATAGCCAGCTTCTGAACGCATGCGCCCTATTCTCTGTGTCGCCATCCTCCTCAGCATCCATGAGGCTGGCATTTTTGAATGCTTCTACAATCGTCGCGGTAGGCACTTTGTCGTACATGTCGAAAGGGATTCTATCTACAAACTTTTGTAGGGAGACTGACCCTAGCTGTACTCGTGCCAAAGTGAAAGGGGTGAAATCTGAAATTTTAGGCGTAATGCGTGTCACAAGATCCCAATCCTCAGGACTCGATGAGTTTTGCCGACACAGGAACTGCTCCTTGGAGGCCAGTGATAGGTATGACTTCATTACAGCCAGCTTCGTTGTCAATCCTAGCGAGGAGGTCTCCAGCGTCTTTAGAAAGTCGTACAGCGAGGCCGTTCCAATGAAAATGTGGCGGTACTTATACTGTAGCTCAAGAGCAGCCTGGACGGTTATCTGCGGAGCTGGTGGCTGGAATTGAGTATGCTGGATGCTCTCAGGTCGAGAGGGAAGCGGTCGGACCGGCAAATTTACAGATCTGTTCCGTCGGTGTGTGTGGGCAGGCTTGGGGTCGCTTGATCTTGTGGCGCTCGCTCTGAGCTCTAACAACCCTCCCTTGTTCTTGCTCTGCGCTCGAAGCGTTCTTGTTGCTGATCTGTGGATGGTGGTCGATGTAGAGTCAACCGAGATGTCTCGGCAATGTCTGTAATGCTGAGGAGTTGTAAGGTCATTGATCGCGTCGTTGAAGTCGACAAGGGTCCGGTCAGGGCTCTCCATGTTACCATCCTCTGCGCCCGCGACAGTTTCGTCGTCCGGGTGAGCAGTTGGTCTGCGTGCTTTCGGGTATTGAGATCCATCTCCTGTCGTAGACGTTGTGTCGGAGCCAGATGATTCGCGATCCGACGATGGCGGTGTGCAGCCATAGTCATACTGTGGCAAGCTGTCGGCCTGAACGATCGCGATGGTCTTGGGCGAGATCGGTGGCGTCAATTCTGCTTCTTGGGAGATGGAGGCTTCTTGGTCGACATGCTCTGCCTGCCTATCCATCTGCAAAACCTTCACAACAGCAGCCGGAGTACCCTGGGGGCTGGAGGTATTTGAAACACTCTCCATTGCCAGCTGTTCAAGTACGAACCCATCCATCACTGTCCCTACAGCACTCTGCCGAGGCAGCCAAGACCGAATTCCTGGAGATAGTCCGGGAGGTTCTGGCCGATGAAGATGCGAATGGATGTGTATCGAGCTTTGTCGCCTCTGTGGTTTGTCTGCAAAGCGAAGGCGCGACGCGGGGAGAGACTGCGAGCGGTGTCTGCGACTCTTCATCTGGTCCAGTCGTCTTAAGAATTCGACAGCGAGAGCGCGGCGAGCAGCGACAGGTTTCTGCATGATTTTTGTAAGCCATAGCATGCAGATGTGGAGTCTGACGATGTGCAGGCAAGCGGCGATGGTGAGGAATAGCATAAACAAACGGTTGTCGCGTGGCATGGCAACAGGCGAGTCACCTTCACTTTGTGACTCTGAGGTGCTCAATCGGCCAATACACGGTGCACGCAGCTGTTGCACAGTGTGCGCTGCTGCAGTGCGCACGGCATTTTGGTGTAGAATCATGGGTGGGAACCACGGCTCGTCATTTCAGGGCCTGCGTAACGTACTGTGGCTCGCGATAAGAATAACTCGAAAGATTGCTTGCGAATGTGATCCAAGGCCGGGCGGAAAATCCCGTGAGGAATGTTGATACTGACACGTGGAATCATCACCTATACAGAGGCAGGAATGCATTGCCAGGACGGGAAAGAAGGAAGAACCCAACATCGGCAAGACGTACTGTCGCCCCTGGCTTTAATGGAGTTGTTCAGTTTCTGACCTTGAAGAAAGCGCAGTGCCTTGTAGGACGTCCAGCAGCCATCATACACCTCTTCCACGCCCTCTGCCTCGTGCCATCCGCACGCTGTGGGGTACGAAATGCAACGCCGTCATGCTGGAAGTAATACTATCAACAGAATCACCTCCCTCTTGTTCCGAGGTCTGTGCAGCTTGATTCTGGCTGTCATGGCCTCGCCCATAGCCTTGAGGATGGCTGAATCCACCGCGGCCACGCAGTTTGATGTGCGAAGATCTCGAGTCGCGCTGCTGCTGCTGCTTGACCGCCTGAGCTTCTTCCTTGTTCTGCACCACGTCCATGCTGTCACCAGCAGCGCTCGCAAAGGACTCTCCTTTGCGCCTCCCAGCGTTTGAAGTCGCAGAGATCATTGTGCTTGATCGTCGTCGATGAGTGGGTCGCAACATGCTGTTCCTGCGATCAATGCCGTCGTTAATGATGAAGAAGTCATAGTTCTTCGGAAACTGGTGCTTGTCTACGCAGTGCATGCGGCGCTTGGGCGCAGTGCTGCAGAGACGATCGCATGTTGGGACCAGACAGGCATACTACGATCAGTCAGTCGATGGTCTGGGTCAATTCCATGAAGTGTGTACTTAGGACACGTACGCTTCAGTCCCCTTCACCCTCATAGCACGGTACTCGAGAACATGAAGAGACCTACCGTTTGTTCGCCCTTGTCTCTCCTGGCAGCAACGAATGGATCATGATTTTCTGAAATGTGCAAATGCAGGATGTGCTCATCAGGGAAGTTCTTCTGGCACTCAGAGCATCTGTTTGTGTGCATCTTCTGGTAGTGTACGTCATACTCGTCGAATGAGGCAAACGCCATGGGCGCATGTGGAGGGAGCAAGCACTTCATAACGGCGAGCTGCTCAGATGCAGCCGATTCTGTGTCTATATGGACAAGCTTGACGTCGACAGACTGGTCGCGCAAGAAAGGACTGCTGGGGTCTGCTGAAGACGACAGAGAGTCTCCACGTGAGCGTTTGATCCCCATGATGTATGCTGACAGTGGCTGTGAGGTTATGAAAGAGGGCAGTACCTTGTCAAGCCAGTGGTGTCCCCTCTCCAGAAGTGCAGTCGAGGGCGTGGTGAGGGCTGAGGGGAGGAGCGAGGTGTGCTAGTCGAAGAGCAAGTGGGGCGGGCACCAGGGTCTACCGTGATTTCACCAACGCGGAAGGAACCCAACGCCTCGCCTCGGGCGACTCACGCAAGTCTGCCTTACGACGTCTCTCACCCCGACATCGCCGCACACGTAGACGCCCTCACGCGCGTTCCGGGTGCCCGCCAGCTGCTGCCGCCTCCCCGCTCACTACACGTCCTCGCACCAGGGCATCCACGACTTCAATGGAATACGCCCGCCACTACGAACGCCATTCCGTGCTCCGTGCCTTCGTCTGACCTCCCGGCCGACCGTGGGGTCACACGTGAACATTGTCGGCGCATGCACAAGGAAGGCATGGCCGCAACCATTGAACAACTAGACAGGTGCGCGCTGAAGCAACGCGCCCCACCAGCAAGGTGCTGACCAGGACAGGCGGGCCCGGGCGATGGAAGAGGAGCTGAACAAGCGCGCCGATGGCCAGGCATTGGCCCCAGAGCTGGCTTCGGTGCTCCAGGAGTAGGAAACGTCTCGGTCGTGCCAAGGCGACTGCTAATACGTGCCAGGTACCGGGCAGCCTGCGAGAGCCTGACGTTTGCCGACTTCGCGTATGCCTCAGCCCACGAGGTTGAGCAGAAGCTCTGGACCGCGCATTTGAAGGTCAACGCCATCTTCAGGCAAATGCATAAGATGGTGCGTTTGCGTGTCACCGGGGGCAGGGTGCTGGACTGACGCAATGCAGCTCAAGAAGTCCAAAGATCATGTTGTGGAAATTCGCAAGTTCCAGAAGAACTACCTCCAATTCATCAAGGCCAGCCAGCGCTACTACCGCCAGTACATCCTGAACCTCGACGCCCACTTCGACGGCATTCCCGAGCTGCGCAAAATCGCCCAGAAATGGAAGGACGATGGTAAGTGGACCCACGCTACCGGCGATGCCGCTGCTCACACGACCCCAGCGTCCAAGACGTCCCCGCGCCCGCGCATACCCGCAGCCCTCAGGAACACCGTCTTCCAGTCGTGCCACCAGACGCTGATTCACCTCGGTGATCTCTCCCGCTACCGCGAGACGGAGCTTGTTGACAAGGACAAGGAGCGCAACTGGGGCCCTGCCAAAGGCTACTACGACCTCGCTCACGACATATACCCCGACTCTGGCTACGCTTCCAATCAGCTCGCGGTCGTCTCGCGCGAAGACGGCGACCACTTCCGCACCGTGTACCACCTCTATCGCTCGCTCGCCTGCAAGCTACCGTATCCGCAGGCCAGGGGGAACCTCGAGACCGAGTTCAAGCGCATCATCGCAGCTTGGGATAAGGGTCAGCTGATCAGCAGCCACAAATCTGCCGACGGCAATACAGGTCGCGCTCTGGTTGCCTGGTTCGTGCGCCTGCACAGCAAGATCTACAAAGGCGAGGAGTTTGCTGCGCACGATGAGCTGGAGGGTGAGGTGCTCAGCCATCTCGCTGTTGAGCTCAAGGAGCGCCCGCTGGACTCGATCCTACCCAAGATCATCCTGATCAACCTCGCAGCCGAGTACTTTGCGACTGTACAGATGCAGGCAGCAAACCCACCCGAGCACATCATGCGCACATACTTCTACTTCCTCCGTCTCAACGTCAAGACCTTCTTCATCTTGTTGCAGGTATTGCAGCCCGAGCTTGAGCGTCTGTCCGAGGCCGACGATGTGACCTATCAGAACGGCGACAATGCACGACAGCTGTCCGATAAGATCACCGCCGTTGCACGCCGCATACTTCCCGGACTTCGTCTATACAGCACGTGGTTCGCACGCTACTGGCAGGTGCTCAACGCTAACATCGCCGACACCTTGACCATCGTGGATGTACAAGAGCTCTGGAAGGCTTACGCTGCGACTCTGACGCTACTGACATCGAGCTTCCCCGTTGATCAGCTGCCGAAAGAGAACTACATGTTGGAGGAAGACACCGACACTATCGGCTTCCAGCCCCTGATGTCACCAGACACAATGAAGGTGTGGTACGACGGCGAGGCTCTGAAGCCCAAGTGGACAGACGTCGAGAGAAATCACCCCAACGTGGAGATGCTCATGCGCATCAAGGATTTGCTGATCGACGGTCTGCTTCTGACACAGAACGCAGACGCGCCTTTGGACCTGGCTGGCACTCGCTTCATCTACCGCGAGGAGGGACTTCCATCTGAGCTGCTGGCGAGCCCCATCACTCGCATGGACGGCTCACCTGTTCTTTCTCCGCGGGCTGTGGACATGCCTTTGTTTCCTCCTGCCGCGCCTATTCCAGACGACCAGAAGTCGTACAGCGTTGCCGCGCCATCTGAGTCAGCTTCTACTACCGTTGCCAAGGACACGGCGATGCGCTCCATGGTTGACGATCTGGTCGGTGCAGACGATGGTTTGGATCCCCTTCCCGAGGAAGACGAGAACATGCCGCCAACACCCCCTGAGCAGACATTCGAGGATACCGCGGTAGTCAACGACAACACTTATGCTCCAGCACCGTTCTCGATCAGTGACTTGGTGAACTCGGTCAAGAACTACAAGCCTTTGTCTCCGGCTCCAGGCGCTGCCATGCTCTCTGCTTCGATGCAGCGATCTGGCTCCACCTCTTCGATGCGTGGACCTGCACACCTGCCGTCCCTTCCTGACGGGCAGTGGAACCAGAACTCGATCTGGTCTACAGGCGTACATGGTTCGCCAAACCCTTCGTCGCCCGCGTTCAACGGACACAGTTTCGATCCTCGCAGGCCATCGATGAATGGTGGCGGCTCACACGGCATGTCTAGCCACGTGCGTGGTGAGTCTGCAAACTCGCAGCTGAGCGCTGATGGTATGACTCCGACGGCGGGCAGGGCTTCCCGACCCATTAGTGGTGGGCTCGGGGTGGGTGCCTCATGGGGACACACAAATGCTAATAGCGGCACGTGGGGGTCGTTTTCTGGGAGCAGCTACAACGAGGTTCAGAACGGCCATGCTCACGATGTGCACATGGCTAGCCCTCTGATGTTCAGCTCGTACCACGACAAAGCTCAGAGCTCCTGGGGTCGCACTCCTCCCAACGGCCAGGGCGGTTGATGCAGAGGCAGCTGCAGCCTTGACAAGCTGCTTGCTATCGTTCTTCTATCAACCTTACCTGTCAGCGTCACAAGTTCCCGCCATCGAGAGCTTTCGCCGACGACCAGGCGTTTGGGCGACTTCACCGGAGCGCTTGCCAGTGGGCAACTGCGTCCATGTCTGTCAGGCACAGTGCAGCGGTCAGCTGTAGTGGCTCTCGGGGGCTTTCAAGGGGATTGAGTCATTCTACGACGGTCATGTTACATTGCTTTGGAGCGACGAGAGGAGACGGGCCGTCAAATTGTGGCCTTGAGCGCCGGGCATGGATGTGGCACTGCTTGGAGATTCAAACATGCTATTCGGTCTATTTTGGTTGTGCTCCGCTGGCAACGTCGGTACCTTGTGGGCGACATTGGACCAACGAGAGCATTTCTTGATTTTCATTATAGCTTCTTATCGACCTGGAGTCTGCGACAACGTCCCCGCTTATATGCAAGTGCCGTGAAAGCCCATTTTTGTGCGTGGAGCACAAGCCACAAACGGCGAAGCTGACACCAAAGCTACCTCAGAAGACGACGTCAACGCCAATCCTGCTGATGGGTAGCTGTCAAACGTACAAAGGGTAAGCGATGACGACACGTGCATATGCTGTGCTGCAGCGCTGTGTGGAAGTAGACGGACCTGCATGCGGTGGTGACTGGGCGTTGCGGGGATCTTTTCCACGAACACTCAGCAGCTGCCGGATTGACAACAAGCTTTGCAAGGTGTTGTCGTGAGGGTACAAACAACTCGGTTCGAGAGCCTCTTGGAAGCTGAGCTGAGCTTGTGGAGTGCACGCAAGGTCGCTCCAGACGGCGGGAAGCGATCTAATTCGTCCAAGATGATGTTTGCAGCGTTGGACATGCAGACACAAACGGTGCAGGATCAGCACATGCACGACATGATGTTGAAACGGCTGCCACTACCCCAGACATTGGCTGCCGTGCTGGTGCTAGTGCGGCGTCGCGTGGTAGCGGGCCGAGAGCCTCACTAGTTCGGTAGCTCTGTGCTTGGCGAGTGACGTTGAGTTGAGGACAGGCAGTCAACAACGTCAACGTCGCAATTCAGCACAGATAAGGACGAAGTTGGGAAGGAGACACAGCGCCGCAACCTCGAAGCTCCCCACCATGGCCGACGAAGTCGACATCGGGTCGTTGACGCCCGACCAGCAAGCGGCCCTCCAGCAATTCACCGCCGTCACGGACGCGCCGCTCCAAGACGCCGTCCCGCTCCTTACACGATGCCAGTGGAACGTGCAAATAGCCATCGCGCGCTTCTTCGACGGCGAACCAGCCGAGGATCCCGTCGCTGCCGCTGCCGCAGCAGCAGCAGCACCACCACCACCACCACACGACACACGGCAAGCAGAGAACCTGATGAACGGCTCCTCGACATCGACATGGAGCCGCCGCGCCGCCGTCGAGCCCGCGCCGCGCGTGGTCCCCCAGCCAGAGAGTCAGATCGACACGCGCGCCCCGCTCGTCCTCGCGCTGCTGTGGGCGCCCGTGAGCCTGCTGTACTCGCTCCTGGCGCGGTCCTTGCGCTTCATGGGCGCCCTCTTCCCCTTCCTCCCGCGCTTATGGGGTCGCTTAACCGCAGGCACCGCCCGCAGTCCGCCCGCCCGCCGCAGCGCAGGCCGCCGCCCGCTGAACCCGCGCGACACGGCGGCGCGCTTCGTGCGCGAGCTCGAGGAGGAGCACGGCGCCAACGAGCTCCCATTCCACGACGGCGGGTACGCCAGCGCCTTCGATCTGGCCAAGAAAGAGCTGCGCTTCCTACTCGTCGTGCTCGTCTCGCCCGAGCACGACCTCACCGCGTCCTTCCTACGCGACACCCTCCTCGCCCCAGACGTCGTCCGCTTCCTGCGCGACCCCGCGAACAACGTGCTCCTGTGGGCCGGCTCCGTGGCCGACAGCGAAGCCTACGCCGTCGCCGCCGCCCTGAGCACAACCAAGTTCCCCTTCAGCGCGCTCGTCGTGCACACGCCCGCCGTCTCCGCCTCGGCCATGGGCATCGCAGCGCGCATCGCCGGCCCCACGCCACCGGGCCCTTACCTCGCCAAGCTCAAAGCAGCAATGGCCACACACACCGAAGCGCTGGACCGCGTGCGCGCCCAACGCGCCGAGCAGACGGCCACGCGCAGCATCAGAGCACAGCAGGACAGCGCGTACGAGCGCAGTCTAGCGCGGGACCGGGCGCGTGCACAGCAGCAACGTGAAGCCGCAGCCGCCGCAGCCGCCGCCGAAGAGGCAGCCCAGGCAGCCCGCGTCGCCGCAGAGACGAATGCGCGCAATCTGCACCGCTGGCGCGTCTGGCGCGCTGCCCGGTTGCCGCTGGAACCCGCCCCTACAGACCAGCAGTGCGTCCGCATATCGCTGCGCCTCCCGAGCGCGGAGCGTGTCGTGCGCCGCTTCCCTGCCGCCGCGCCCATGGACGACTTGTACGCTTTTGTCGAGTGCTATGATGTTCTGCAGAGCGGTGAGAAGACCACGAGCGAGAACAGCAGCGAGAACAGGAATGAGGAGAACAGCGCCACCCCCACAGATCCGCAGAACTACAAGCATACATACACGTTCCAGCTCGTCTCGCCGATGCCGCGAGAGGTGTACGCGCTGAGCGCCGGCGGCACGGTCGGGGAGCGCATCGGGCGGAGCGGGAACCTGATTGTGGAGCGGATAGGCGGGGACGACGAGGATGACGACGACGACGACGACCAGGATTGAGTCGGCGAGGGGCTCGGTCGAGCGAGTGCATCGCAGGCGTTCTGACTTCGGCATCGATTAGCGTGGGCTGTGGACTCTGACATTTCCAATACAAAACAATATTGACCAAGGCACGTCGCCGTCCAAGACACCAACGGCAAACGCATCTTAACATCATTTCGTGACGGCAAATTTCGTGACGGCAAACGCACTCAACATCATTTCGTGACGGCAAACTTCGTGACGGCAAACGCACTCGACATCATTCAATGTGTAAGCGTTATGGATAGCGTTATCATCACACTCTACTAAATCTCACCGACGGGCAAGTTCCCGTCCATCTCACCCCTCATCCTAATTTCATCCCCAGTGTTCAACACTAACTCTTGCTCGCCCTCCCCGCCCGAACTAGATCCTGGAACGCCGACTCAAGACCCCTCTTCACCTCCCTGTAGCTGACAATGAGCACATTCTGCTCGTCTCTGCTCGTCAACATGACCTTTTCGTCTGCCCCCGCGTCCAACTTGTTGAGGCAGTCGATCACGTGCGCCAGGTCCGTCACCGGATGCCCATTGGCGTCCACTTGGTGGAACACGTAGTCGCGGAAGAGCTTGAGGTAGTACCGCTCTCCTGTTTCTGCCCAGCCCGACGACGGGTTCGCCGTAGCGCTTCCGGGTACATGCTGAGATGCGTCCAACTCCGGCCGCTCGTTGATCATGTTCAGCTTGATGAGCAGGCGCGCGATGCGGCTCGATTCCAGCTCGCGGCCAAGTGTGTTTGTCAGCGTGTCTTGCGCGTGGAGCTCAGAGTCAAACACCGACGCGAATTGGTCCGCGATGCCGCCGAGGAAGGTGTCAATGTCCTTTTGGATGTTCGGCGACGCGGGCGACGAGGGTGTGCCTGGCTGCGGCTGTGGGCTGAGAAGGTACTGGATGCACTCTTTCAGGCGGCCCGTGTAACTCCTCGATATGTAGTCCATCGATTTCTGCATGTTGATATGAGCCTGGGGGCTGTTGTTGGCGATGCACAAGACAAGTCGTCCGAGTTGGACAAGGTCGTCGGCTTGTACATCCGCTATCGGCCGTGCGGTTTCGAACTGCACCACGTCCATGATGCCGCACGCATTGAGCCGAATGCGGTTCTTCGACGTCAGAAGTATCTTGGATGGCGTGATAAGCCTCGCAGCTAACCCCGCGCCGTGTATAGCCTTGAGCGCCGAGCCAATCTGGACAATGTAGCTCCACAGTGTCTGCTCTGACACATGGGATGACGCTGCTTGTCTGCCGTGATAGCGCGGGACGGGTTTGAAATGCTCGTCTGCCAGTGATTTGGCGTTGGGGTGGTAGTCAGTCACCATGATCAACGAGCTATCGCCAAACGCTCTTGTTGTAAAAGCCTCGTGGATGGTGACGACGCTGCCATTTAGTATCCGCTTCCATGGCTGGAACGAGCGCATTGCAGTCTCGTTCGTCAAGCGGAAGTTCTCGAGTCGACGCAGTGCATACGTCTTGCCGTCCTTGCTCGAGATGGCTTTGTAGATCCAGCTCGCATAGCCAAAGGGAGCATTGTTTCTTTGTGGGGATGTGTCGAGGCAGAAGAGGGAGTGGTACTGCTCAATGTGTGGCAAGGACGGGTTTGGGAGGATCTGACGAGCGACCTCGGCCTTCTTCTGCAGGTCTTCCCGGAGACTGTCTGGGATGAACAAGTCGTGGGCGGTGCGCTGATATGCAAGCAGGCCGGTGGGTTGAGGGCCAACTGGCCAATAAAGATGGTATGCTGGCGAGGCCTGGAACGTGTTGGCGTTCTGATAGTATGCGGCGCCGGCAAGGCCTGATGGGTCCCGGGCGTACGGATTGATAGTCGGCGCTGAGACAGCGACTGTGGACGACGACGCGGTGAAGGGATCGTACGACGACGCTGCGTCGACCTGAGGCGGTCAGTGCTTTTCTTCGAGCTTTGGGGTTTTCACCACAGTCAGCCCTGGCGAATAGGGGATGAAGCAACGGGTGGTGCGGCCCGGGGACTGAACGAGCGGCATGGTGAGCTACACGGCGGGTGGGGACGTACCAGCTGGCCGTCGAATGCCTGAGGGACGAACTCGTGGAAGTCCTGCGCCTGCCACTCGGTCGAGGGCTCCTTCGTGTGCAGGCTGGGCGTGGTCACAGCTGGGGAGGTCAGCAGGCAGCACGGAGAAGGCGCGGCAGGGGGCGGGCAAGACTCACTGGAGCGCTGCGACTTGGGGGTGAAGACGGCCGCATTGGCGGCCTTGGGCGAGATGGCGGCGGTGCGCGACGACGAGGGCGTGACGGCCCCGTTGGTGGTGGGCTGCAGAGGCGTGAAGGAGGGCGAGTCGACGTTGAAGCGCTTCTTGGCGTTCTCGTTCTGGTTCAGTTTGGCGTGGTCGTGGATGTACGGGCAGGCTGGACAGGGTCACGTCAGGGCTCGGCAGCAGCGGCGGCGGCCGACACTTACTGTTCTCGTACCGGCAGTGGCCGTAGATGGTGACATTGCGGCAGAAGGTGTTCTTGGCTTCTGTGCTGGTGTTAGAGCTGGTGCAGGGCGCCGTCCGAGCTGGTCTGCCATACCGCGACCCTTTGGGCGAGGAGACGACACGCTGCGCCGCGAGTCTCCCGAGGGCCCGCCAAACGCCGTGGCCATCAAACGGGCGGGTGCGGGGAGTGCGGTGCTGCTGAGCGGGGTATGGGCGGCGGGCAGCTGCAGGCTCGAGGGCTGGGCTGCGGGCTGCGGGTTGTTCCTGGGCTGGGCCGCAGCGTCACTCCATCGGGCGGCGGCGGCCTTGGTCGACTTGGTGCGTCTGTAGCTGCGCGTCTGCTTCGGCGGGGCGGGCGCGGTGGGCGCGGTGGGCGCGGTGCTGGCACGGCCGGGCGCGTGGGCAGCCGGGCGCGAGGGCCGGGACGACGACGCAGTCAGGTCGGAGATGGTGTCGGTGGTGGTCGGGGAGCTCGAGCTCGCAGTGGCACTCGCAGCGGCACTCGCAATGGCACTCGCAGCGGCACTCGCAATGGCACTCGCAGCGGCACTCGCAATGGCACTCGCAGTGGCACTCGCAGCGGCACTCGCATGTGTGTCTCCCTTGGCCTGGGGGGACGCGCTCCGGGACGGCGCAGAGGGGTGCGGCGGCGCGCCTTTGTCTGCCGGCGCGGGCTGAATGGTGGGCAAGTGAGCAATGTCGCTCCCGAGACGTTCCTGCGCGTACATCAGCGACAGTCCTGCAGCCTGTGCCTGCCGTCGCACGCCATGCGCCGACCCGTCCAGCGCTCTGGCGACATGCGCGGCATTGCATCGGATTCGCAGCCAAAGCGGCCTGCAGGCGGGGAGTCGGGTACCTTTACGCGCTGCAGGCAGTTCACCACCCCGCAGCAGATCCAGCTTCCTGTAGCAGCAGCAGGCGCCTCTCCATCGACAGGCCGGTCCAAGATACACGGGACGGAGCAGAGCAGGAGGTTGCAAGCTGATACTTGAGCCCGCGGACTGGCCTGAGTTGCCCTGCATCTTCTTGGCACACCCCACCTTACTCACTCACTCACTCACTCACTCA